CACTTGTTTCTCTAGTTTTATTGTCAGATTGCCTTCACGAACAGTGTGTAAAGTTGAGCTCAGTGTGTCAAAGATCATTGATAGCCAGCTCATGGCAGAAGCTATTTGTTGAGCTTCTATGTTGATGGCGCTTACATTCCAGTAGAGGTGATAAAGGACAATTAAAAATGTGCTCTTTTAAAATTTAAGCTTACTCTAGGAGATAACAGGCACAGTATGAAACAGAGCAGGCTAAGAGCATGCTGAGAATGGGATGAGTTGCCGTTTTGGAAGATTGTTAGTCCGACCTGAAAAGTAGCATTTGAGTCAGGACTTGAGACAATGTGTGAAGTGTGATTTTTGTCTTTTTCTCCTCTTTTCTGGTATCTGAAGATGACTGTGATCTATTGTTTCTCTTAGTGAGAATGAATGGTTTTACACATAGTTCCTACTTTTATGTTCAACTATGATAAAATTTAAAGTACAAAAGCTTTTTATGGGAGACAGCCCTTGTCTTTACATTTCAGAGTGGGGGACATTGGCCCCAAACAGGTTTAGTTTGCGTGTAAACATGAGGAGAATTTTCTATTCAAGGCTCTCATGAGACGAAAAGAGTATTACCAGTGTGAGATTGAAAAAACAAATTGTTACCTATTTTATATAAAGGCAAGGTGGCACTTAATGATGGTACATATGTGTCGGAATAACAAATATTCCTTATTTTACAGGGTGACTGTTGGATCTGTATGGAACTCATGTCTACCTCGTTTGATAAGTTTTACAAATATGTATATAGTGTATTAGATGATGTTATTCCAGAAGAAATTTTAGGAAAAATCACTTTAGCAGTAAGTGCTTGTTTTTATTACTTGTTTCAAAAGGATGCTAAATTTTTCCTTCTGACATAATTAGGCAAAGATACCACTGTGGTTTTAAATGTACATGCTCCAGGTGTGCTTCACAGAATGTTACTTACCTTCCTGGAAGAGTCATTGGTCGAAGGAAAGGGAGCTAATAATTAATGCAGCTGGTCATAAGAGCACTCTAATAACATGGTCTGGATAAATACGGACAATTTTCTTTTCATTCAAGTTACAATGAATCATAATAGGCTGTACTATAAATAAGGCTAGAAAAAGCAATTTTCCATTTTTTCCCTTGTTGCTTTTAATCGTCAAATAGGTTAGATGAACAATTACCCTAGATTAATCATAATAGTCGCAGTCTCCTTGTAGTCCTTAATTGGAGCTCTTAGACACATATTTCTTGTAGTTTAAAATTTGGGCTGTCCAGACTAAACTTTTACATAGCTGAGTAGCAATTTTAGGGACCAAGGTTACTACTGTATTAGAGCTTACATTCTGAGCACCCCAACTTTGCAGAAAGCTATGAATGACAGTGATAGTCCAAAATCCATTTGCAGAGTCCCCACTGCTGATGAAGAGAAAGGTTTGCAGCTTTCAATAGGGATCACAACTCAATGTAAAGAAGACCAAAATCCTCACAACTGGACCAATAGGTAACATGATAAATGGACAAAAGGTTGAAGTTGTCAAGGATTTTTGTCTCGCTTGGATCCACAATCAATACTCATGAAAACAGCAGTCAGGAGATCAAAAGAGGTGCTGGATTTGGTAAACCTGCGTAACCTCTTTAGAGTATTGAAAAGCAAGGATGTTACTTTGAGGACTACGGTGCACCTCACCAAAGCCACTGGTGTTTACCACTCCCTCACATACATGTGAAAATTGGATATTGAATAAAGAAGACCAAAGAGCAACCAGTGTCATGGACTGCTAAAAGTACAAACCAGTCTGTCATGGAAGAAGTGTGGCCAGAATGCTTCTCAAAGGCAAGGATGAGGAGACTTTGTCTTACATACTTCGGACATGTTATTAGAAGAGACCAATCCCTGGAGACAGACATCATGTTCAGTCAAGTAGCGGGGCAGTGAAAAAGAGGGAGGCCCTCCAGGAGATGGATTGACACCATGGTCACAACTGTGGGCCCCAGCATAGGAGCAATTATGGGGATGGCGTAGGACCAGGCAGTGTTGTGTCCTGTTGTGCGTGGGGTCG